AACATATTATATTCTGTGTTGGTACAAAATAAAAATCAAATAAATACACCACAGTGTCTCCATTGTGAAGGCATATATAACCTAATAATGATAGTGATGCAAATAACCTAATTGTGATGCAGGCTGCAAAATCTGATGCAGAGGGGGAGGGAATATCACCTACTTGGTGGAGGTCTGAGTGCTTTTCTAGTTTAATTACAATTTATCCTGTGGGGAAAGTGACTGTGTGGACCAATTTTCATGGCAATCTGTTTTACACAACACCGTAAGTATTAACCTGCTGGTTGCACTAAATGAAAAGTCAGATTATCACCAGATTTATTCACATACACCCCCAGGGGACCATGAATGTCATGATATTTCAATCTGCATGCTGATTAGCTTGTTATTGTGTTTGGTGGCATCTCTGTTTTTGCCCTGATTGAATTAACTGCGATCTGTGACCCTTATTGGTGGAGTTCTGGATTTCGCCATGCTGCCCCCAACCTACGCTGCTTGTGGTAGGTTTCATAGGAAGTGGAAGGACGCTCCAGAGCCTGTTTACATCCAAAAACTGCACACTCTACCATGTTTGCTGTCAAAACTTTTGCTATGCTAATGCTAACTATGCTCTCTGGACTGATAAGTCTGCTCTGCACTGGAGGTTTCAGGTTTCTTTGCTGGTGTCGCGTCAGAGTCTGTTCTCATGTGAAAACACCTCTCTCGCAACACTTTTCACAGATACAAGTCAGTAAAGTCATAATGGAAGATAAAACATGATAAAGTGCTTCTACACTGGCCCAGTGTGTAAAAAAACATGCAGTGCAAAACCATATGCTGTACTTCTAGAAAAGGGTTTGGAACCACATGCAGGTAGTTAAATAAAGTAAAGAGGAGTTCATTATAGATGTGGATGATTATTTATTAAAAAATGACACAAGGCATGTTCACGTTCTGAACTGCAGCGATGCAAAGCTGAGGGAATGGGGAAGAAGTTTATCACCTTATATGGTATCACAGAGAAAAGAGACAGAGTTGACTCTTCTCTCGACTCTTTCAAGATGAATCCTTCAAAAAGTCACGTTAGGCAGATGCATCACCCACCTCTTTAAAAAATGTACTGATAAACTGCACAAAAACTGAAACAAAATTATTAGATATGGGATTCACAGTGATACAGGCTATCAACAAAAGCTTAGCTATTAAAGGTGGTTATTTTTCCTCATAATAAGGCAAAAACATTAAATATTTGCATAGTTTATCAAAAATATATTACTACTACTTGAAGACATGATATATTACATTATGCTATACTATGTAATACATCATGTCTTCAATAAAATGCAGAAACCAGTGCTGCTAAAGCAAAAAAATTACATTAGCCTCATTTAGCAAATTCATCGTTTAGATTAATCATATATCATAAAAGCCCTGACATCAGTGTAGATGGTCTCTTCTTGTCTTTGATTTCTTCTCCCTCCTCTGCCAGCTTTCCTCCTGGTAAAGTTTGGTGTACAATAAACCAAAGACTCCTCAATTCTCTGAGGAAACAAAGTGTAAAAATGAAATTAAGAGAGCAGATTTTAATGTTTATACATGTCAATAAATAAACATTACTGACAACATTTCTGGCTACATCTTTAAAATCCTCACCTGCTGACTTTGCTGATCACAACTGGCTGTCGCAGCATTTGTTTGCAGAGTGGCAGCAGCTGTATTATTAAAAAAGAGAAATAAGAGATCGTAAAAAAGAACGGATTTCGGACTTCATTGAAGATGAATGACACTGCAGGTTGATTTGAACACAGCAGAAATGTGAACTGAATTATATAAACTTCGGTTTGATAGATGAATATGAGTAATGTCTCTCACTGTTGGAACAATCGCTGGATTTTTTCCTGATGACATGAACGAGGACGGCTATAACAATCAGACTTAAAGCCAAAGCAGCACACACCAGAAACAGAACTGTATTCTGTGAATCACAGCGGCTGACATCTGAAGCATTAGAGAAACAATTAAAGTTAAGAAATCGTAGGAAATATTTTGTTAATAGATAATGATAATCTAACTATAAGATAGAAACAGGGTGCACTTACCTTCAA